CATTCACTGGAAAAAAAAGTTTATTTTGCACCTGGTATGTGTCAGGTACCAGGGTTACTAGCACTTAAGAGATACAGAATCCCTGTCCTCATAAAAGGACGGACACAGTAATTACAGACTGAGATCTTAAGGGAAAACACAACAACAAAACATGGGGAGTTGCGGATGAGAAGGGCGGGAGCCAGAGGTCTTTCCCGAGAGGTCACTGAAGCTGAACGCTGAAGGAAAAGAGGGAGTTAGCACCCAAATCAAAGAAATCAAGGGAGAACAGTGGTCCAGGCAGGCCGGGGTGAAAGCACGCAAGTTCTTACGGCCTGTGGATTATACCCTCAGTGCAAAGGGAAGCCACCAGCAGGCTTCAGTAGAGGGGTGATATGGCCCAATTTACGCTATGATCCCATGTGCTTTCCACAAGGTATTTATTCAGTCCCTCAGTGATGAATCCTTAAACAGCTTCCAACTGCTTAACAGCTATTCCAGGTTTGCAGGGTATACCCGTCTTCGGTTACAGCGTATCTTTAGGTCTGAACAGTCTGCAGAGTTCACTGATGCAGGGACTGATGACTCCCCCTGATCAAAGCTAGGAGCTGAAAATACCCTGGCTGGGCTTAGGGGCAACTTGCACATAAAATATCCTAAAAAGATTAAGACTGAGCAGAACAAAATCCAATCTGGCATCCATTGTTCAGGACACTTTTATGATTTCTCTCAAAGAATGTGTTCCTAGTTCCCAAATCTGTGCTCCCAGACTTGGTCTGCTCTCTAAGCTCTACATCCCACTACCTGGAGGGCGTCTCTTCTTGGCTGTCCCACAGCCACCTCACACTCAGAAAGGGAACAACCAAACCTGCACACCACCTGCATCACCCCCTTCCCCGGCCCCACGTTCTCTCTGTCAGTAACCAATCCCAGCACCACCCACTTCCTTAAGCCAAAAAACCACCAGGTCCTCAGATGTCTCCCTCTCCTTTGTCCCCCACGTCCAAATGGTTCATAAAATCTCCTTAATGTCGCTATCCTGCCATCCATTCACAGTTTGCCCTGCCCCCCTGCACTCAGGCTCAAACCCCTCTCCCCTGATTATTGGTCTCCAAATTCCCTACCATCACTTCTGCCCTACCCTCCGCTGTCCTCCAAGGTAACACTCTCAGTCTTTCTAAGTTCAAATCTGATCATGAAACTCCTCAGCTTAAAATCCTGAAAAAGCCCCTCAAAGCAAGACCACAATCGGGCACCTACTTAATTGATCCCTAAGCGCTCACTGATTTTATCCGGGGCCTCAGTCCTATCACATTTCTGGCCAAAGCACCACACTCTGTCCTGCCCCTCACAGTTTGCATGTGAGTTTCCCTCTGCCTGAACACCCTTCACCCTACTCTGTCCCACGACTCATTATTATCTTCCTGTCTTTCAGGGGACTCATCTTGGGTACGACCTCTCTAAAAAGACCGGAGAGCAGAGATGGTGAAATTCCAAATTTGTAAGCTCAGTACCCAGCTCAGCACCTAAGACGCAATGAACATTCAGCAAATGTTTCTGTGTAAACTGCCTTCAGAGATAACTGACAAGTCACTTAAAAAAAGTGTGGGGTGGGGAAAAATTCCTTTATAGTTATCGCACTTTAAAATGAAAGAGAAAAATGGCATTATCAAGTTTGGGTTAGCATCTTTATTTCCTAAACTTCTAAAAACCAATTCCATGAGCCACCCCTCCAGAAGGCATACTGAAAACAAGAAAGTTCCCAAGATGTCTTAAGCAATGAGATCATCAGTGGGCTCTATTTACTGACTATTTTGAAGGGACAAGTAGTAATTTGAATATGTGTGCTCCGGTGTATTTATTAAAATCAGTCTCAATATATTGAAGTTGTGCCTTCCTTCAGCATCTGTCAAAGCTTTATTAAATTTGGCTCACTGATTTTTTGTTTTAGGCCAAATGTACATGGGGAAAAAAAAGAGCTCCATCTCTCTCATGAAGAAATATAAATTAAAACAAAAAGACAGTATTTTCAATCTGTCATATAAAGATTAAAAGAACATTTGATGTTGGAGAGTGTGCAGTCAATAGACACTTAGAAATATTTCTGGTGGTGACAAACCCGGAGAAAACCCTTCTTGAAGGCACTTGGGAGCCTTTAAAACTTTCCTACCTCTTTTTCCCCAATAAACCCACTTCTAGAAACGCATCGACAGAAATATCACACAAGCACAACCATTTATGTAAGGCAATATTCCAGGCAGCCACTATTTGGAAGAGTAAATGAAATGGGTATTATGTGAATCCATGTTTAACTGTACACTTATACCCCCTGCAAGGACTTGCAATAAAATGAGAACAGTCATTATCTTTAATAAGGTTACTGATACATTTTATTTTCTATTGTTTAAATTTTTCAATTTTTCTGTAATGGATACTTACTACTTTTTTAAAAAAATGTATTTTTTTCAACCTGAAGTGCATTCTTTCAGAGCACTACTTAGAAAAATAAAAAATTAATTCCTCTCTTCCACACTCCTCTTCCCTTCACCATCGGTAAGCATGGTTGAAAGTTTGATGTGTCTGAGTCTGGGACTCTTCCAATGAACCGATGACATGCACATGAATATAAACACACTTCATTATCTAGATGTCATCACACTTTTTTTCTGCAAATTCATGTTCTTCACTTAACAATACAGACTCGTAGACAGAGTAAAACAATCTTATGGTTACAGGAGAAGAAAAGGGGTGAGAAGGGATGAATCTGGAAGTTCAAGATTTGCAAATACTAACCACTGTATATAAAAATAGATAAAAAAACAAATTTCTTCTGTTTAGCACAGGGAATTATTATATTATTACAATCTTTCAATAACCTTTAAGGAAAAAGAATAGGAAAACAAACATATGCATGTATATGCATGACTGGGACATTATGCTGTATACCAGAGACTGACACACTGTAACTGACTACCGTTAAAAAAATATATATATATATACTTATATATAGAGAGAGAGAGAGAGAGAGAGAGAGCACTTAGAGATCTTTTCATGTTAATACATCTATATCTACCTCTTCGTAAACAGCTGAAGCAGTAAGTTACAGGAAAAGATCAGAGAGAACTTGGCGATGAGGAGGAAAGCTTGTAACTTAATACTATCTCTAAATACAAGCAGAATTTTTATGTGGTGAGAGTTAAAGCAGTTATTCTCTTTCCATAGGAGAGTAAACAGAAGAGCACAGCAGGGAAGATGTCATTGGTATAAGACACCATCTCTTGTCCACCACTCCTTATACACCAGACACCACTTTGCACAAGCTGAACTATCAGATTCCCTGGAAATTTCCCTCCCCCTGGGTCCGCCCCAGCATGTGAGCAGAAAATCAGGAAGCAAACACGTTTCACTTAATAGAAACATCTCTCGTTTTTCACTTGTTTGACTAGGTCAATAAGTTTCCAAAAGTCCCAAATTCAGTAAGTCGTCACCATCATTTCAGCATCACATTTGAGCCATTTCACCGAAATATTGTTCACACTATGCAAAGAACTTTCATTAGCATCCTAATTACCAAAAAGGATATTACTCATTTTTTCCAAGAATGAATAATTATCTAGAGAGACTTGCCCAGGGCCTTAAGTGCAGTCTGGTTCTAAAAACTGGGACCTCAACACACAAAGTTTCACTCCCTAAAATAAAATACTAGGAACTCCAGTTTCCTTCATTTCAGATCAACAAACAAGTGAAATTCTGCATTTTGATTGTGAATCATAAATGCTATATATACACAATCTTTCTGTTACAAATACAGAATCTATAAAACCTTATCTGGAGGGCAGGGTATAGCTCAGTGGTAGAGCATGTGCTTAGCATGAATGAGGTCCCGGGTTCACTTCCCAGTACCTCTATCAAAAAATAAATAAATAAAAATAAATAAACCTAATTACCCTCCCCCCACAAAAAACCCATCAGTACATTCACAAATGAAGAAGGTGAATCCCTGAGCTAGCTATTTTGATGAACTCAGTTCCCTGGAATGCTAGGAGACTGCGGAATAATTCTGATATTCACGACCCCTGCTCAAGAGAAAGAAATGCTGCCCTACGGAGAAAAAAGTGTCACTGGGACAGCACTTCCTCACAGAGGGTCCTTCACTGGGACAGCACTTCCTCACAGAGGGTCCTTCATAAAGTACGTGTCAAGCTAAGGCAGTTACAGTGCATTTTTGCAGCCTTACCTAAAAGCACCAGTGTCTAATCAAGTGGACCAGGGATGTCTGAAGGGACATAGCATTCTCCTGTCACTGGGATGTGAAATTCTCAAAAAATTAAGTATCATTACTAGTTCAATTCAACAACCAACTCCTACTACCTCCCTCCTTTCTCTTCTCTGTAAATTCTTTTCCAGCTTCTCAGAAACAACCAAACTTTGACACACTCTCTTTCATGTCCGAGGCTCGAACTTCTCGCCTAAAAACCCTCCCCTCCCCAAAAGGATTTGGGGTCCTGGAGGAGAGACCCAGAGCCAGTAGGACCTTAGATAACGTCACACCTGTTGGGCTAAGTTTCTTCACTTAGTGTTTCCTAAAGAGGGATATGCAGACTGCTGATGGAGCAGGCGATGCATTTAACGGGTTGACAGATTGCTATGGGTTTGAATGTTTGTATCCGCCCCAAAATACATGTTGAAATCTTAACCCCCAAAGTTGATGGTATGAGGAAGTGGGGACTTTGGGAGGTGCTCAGAGGCCGTGAGGATAGAGCCCTCACTAACGGGACTAGTGCTTTACACAAGAGACCCCAGAGAGCACCCTTGCTCCCTTCAGCTGGGTGAGGCTACAAGGGGAAATCTGCAACGTGGCAGGAAGAGGGTGCTCAGCTGACCGTGTTGCCACCTTGATCTTGGACTTCCAGCCTCCAGGACGGTGAGGAATAAACTTCTGTTGTTTATAAGCCACCCCATCTGTGGTGCGGTGTTTGGCTCTAGCAGCCCAAATGAACCAAGATGCAGATAAACTTATTTTTAATATAAAAATGTATGTTAGAAAAATAAACAACTAGCTCATAAAACCCATGATTTTGTATTTATGATTGGCAAGGAAGAGGATAAGTAAAATAGTCCATTTAAAGTTGCTTAAAAGAAACAGTACTTTTCACAGTAAAGTGGTACAAAGACATCCCAAACTCAAAGGTGGTAGGTATGCACCTTCGAGATGTTTAGGAAGCGCCTGGTGTGATCATCAGCTTTGCTCCCCTGGGCCTGGCCACGTCTCCAGTTCCAGTCTCTCTACTGACCTCCTGACCCGGGTGTCCTCTAGGGATCTCAGTTACAACACATCCAAAATGGAGCCATCAGCTTCCCCCCGTGCGTCTACTCCAGAGATAAATAAGCGTATCCATCTGGCCACCCAAGCCAGAAACTTTCTGCCTTGACTTCTGTCCACATATATGCCCATCCAAACGATCTCCAGGCCCACCTCCCCAGAGCTGCAGCTTTGCTTCCCTCCGTCTTACTATCGCATCAGTGTAGCCCACTGGCATCTCTGGCCTGACCAATTATACAGGCCTCGTAACTGGGCCCTAGCCCCACGGCCATCCTCACAGCTTCCACATCACCCCAGGACAAGGTCCACAGCCCCCTAACTCGGCTCCTTAGTGCACTCTCTCCTGGATTGGGCTCTAGTCACGTGAACAACAGTCCAGCTCTCCCAATTCTACCAGCGCGTTTCTGCCTCTGGGTCTCTACGAACACCTGAGACCCTCTTCCCCCCGTCCCTGGCCCACAGCCTCTCTTGCTGCACGTTTCAACTTCAGTTACTATGTCCTTCTCTTTCATGTCACTCACCATCCTTTACTGTAATTCTTATTTAATGTCTGCCTTCCCCTGCACACGGCGCATTCCACGAGGGCTGTAACCACATCCGTTTTATTCATCCCCATATTTTCAGGGGGTGGCACTGCAGTTGATACTTAATAAATATTTGGTGAATGAGAGAATAAATAAACAGCTATTCAGACACCAAAAGAAAATAAGATATCTAAAGGCCCTTAAGCCAAGATACCTGAAAACAGTAAAAATGCCAATTTCATTTGAGTACAGCAAACATTTTGTTTTTTCAGCCACCTAAGGAATGGTGTGCAAATAGCTGTGAGAAGCAACCAGTTTTCAGCATCAAACCCAGGCATGTTCTCTTCAGAGGTGTATGAGTGGTTCACAGTTACCTTGCCTACTTCCTTCAAGGCCCTTTTGCAGACTTCATACTTTGGAGAGTCCTTAGGTGTCTTTTGACAGATGGTCTGCAATAAAGTAAAAGAAGAGCAAAGTCAACTGATTTGTTGTACTAAGTAAAATAAAACCAATGCCCGAACATATACTTTAGCAAGTGTAACAACACTGAACACAGTATTATGGATGAGTATAAATATGACATTAAAATCCAATTACAGAATTAGGAAATAGTCTTTTCAAATGAAGGGGTTCCACGTAAATCCAGGAGATGGTTAAATAAGAGGAGAGACTTCACAGGTGGGTAAACTTGGTTTCAAATCCCGTATCTGTTCCTTACTAGCTATGTGACCTCGGGCAAACCACCTACCCCACTTCTATAAGCCTCAGTTTCCTCATCAGTAAAATTAGGGTAATGCCAACAATGTCACAAGGTTGTTGCAAAGGTTCAATGGTAATGCATGCGAAGTTCTTTATGAGTGCCTGGCATATAGTCGGCCCTCAATGAATGACAAAATTACTTTAATTACCACCATCATCATCATTATTACTTGAGGTTATTATATTTGTAGATGATATGATATGAATAAAAAGATCAAGAAAAATGGCTACTGGATTTTCTTTTGATATGTTTATAGTGCAGTTTTTCTGATGGTAAAATTGAGTTCAAAGAGGGCCAAATGAAGGTATATCCAATTATAACTTTTTAAAAATTTTTCTTTTTTTTTTTTGGAGGGAGAGGGAGGTAATTAGGTTTATTTATTTATTTAGCTTTAGAGGAGGTACCGGGGATTGAACCCAGGACCTCATGCATGCTAAGCATGCGCTCTACCACTTGAGCCATACCCTCCCCCAATTGCGTATAACTTTTGAAACTACACCCACTCAAAGCCAAGAGAACCATTTCAATTGTTAACAATGTTCGCATCCATTAACAAATTTCACTAAATCTCCAAATGAAGTAAAACTGAAGGAGACCATGTTTTAAGTACATTTAGATTCTGCCTGAGTGGCCAGATTCTCACACATGGGAAACAGACTAGGGCAGCAGGCATCAAGCAGAGGTAGAAGGGGCTGGGAACTAGCAAACCACTGGTACCGTAAATGCAGACGAGCACCAGCCTATCGATCCAAAAGCCAGGTGTCAGGATTGTTATGTGTGACAGGAGACTCACAGAGTGTACCATCAGTGAGTTTATACTGATGGTTCTCAAAATTTTTTGACCATGACCCACTGTAAGAAATACATTTACACTGCAACCAGTATACATGCACACAAAAATGAAACAAGTTTTTAATGAAATACTATTTAACCACATTACGAACTGTGTACATATCATATACCACTCATTCTACACTATTTCACTTTTTTAAAACACTGCTCACGATTCAAAAATCAATTTCATGACCCACTAATGGGTATGAAAGGAGTTTGGAAAAATACTAGCTCTTGTCTGAGAGCAGGCATCCTGAGTCCACAGTGTCTTTGCACATTTTAATTTTTATGTAAAATTTTGCACATAATGAATTTTCTAGGGAGAATGGCTGCAGCTTGACTCACAAGCTCAGAAAGGTCTCTGACCCCAAAAAGTTGACAGCCCACTAGGTAGTCACAGCATAAACCTCCAATGTGGTACACAGACACATACATGAGATTTTGCAAGTCCTTATCTAGCTAAACGATTTCCTCAAAATTAAAAAGGGAGAGGCTATAAAAGGCTGAGAGATCATAGCACATACAGAATCAAAGGAAACACAGTGAAAACATGTTCTCAGAAGAAGAAAAAGAAAGAACCCTGAAAATTCAGAACTTTACAAGAAATGCTACATTTAGAAAGCAACCATTTCTTGTAAAAAAATAGTTTGAATTAGTATTTCCCTATGTGGATGGAAGCTTCACTATTTGTACAAATGTCTTCGAAGTTACACGAAATCAACTTTAGAGCCAAAACTTTGCTTTTATAACCTGGCTGCATTCTATTCTTAGACATGATAAAATATTGATTAAAAAAATAAATCAGGGCTAGATTTTCAAAATGGCAAGTTTCCCAGTACTAGGAGGGAAGTTCCTAAATTACAGGTGAGGGACAAGGAAGGGTGTAAAGGTAGTAGACTGAGGTGAACCAGGAGCAGCAGGTGCTGTGAATTCTGAAATGATCACCAAAACTCCCCCAAACCCTGCAGCAGAGCCAACCAAGTGACCATGATCACACGATTTTACTCATTTCAAAATTTCACTGTTTCTTTAGAATATCTCTTTGAATTTATAATGGAAGATGGAAAAAAATTCATTTTGTAAACTTACTCAATCATAATTTTTTGTGATATTTTTATCCTGTGTTTTGATTTGTAAAAATCAAGTATGTTAAAAATGACATTATATTATGATCCAATTTTAAAGTAGAACTACACCAAAATATTTTCATTTGACCAAAAAGACTCTTTCTGAGCTACTATATGACCCAACATTTCCATTCCTGAGCATGTATCCGGAAAAGACAAAAACTCTAATTTGAAAAGACATATGCACCCTAATGTTCAGAGAAGCAGTATTTAGAATAGCCAAGATATGGAAACAACCCAAATACCTATCAACAGATGACTGGTTTAAGAAGATGTGATATAGATATACAATGAAACATTACTCAGACATAACAAACGACACACCGCCATTTGCAGCAACATGGATGGACCTACAGATTATTATACTAAGTGAGGTAAGCCAGACAGAGAAAGACAAATACTATACGATATCACTTAAATGTGGAATCTAAAAAATTAATACAAATGAATCTATGTACAAAATAGAAACAGACCGACAGACATAGAAAACAAACTTATGGTTACCAAAGGGGAAAGGGAGGCGAGGCAGGGATAAGTTAGGAGTTTGGGATTAATGGATACAAACTACTATACATAAAACAGATAAGCAACAAGGTTTACTGTATATAACACAGGGAACAATATCCAATATCTTATAATAAACTATAACGGAAAAGAATCTGAAAATATACACACACACATATACATAACTGAATCACTTTGTTGTACACCTGAAACTAACACAATATTGTAAATCAACAATACTTCAACTGAAAAAAAAGTCACTCTTTGGCCCACTAGCTGGATGGGAGTGGTTATGTCGGCTGCCCCATCCCTCATGGCGGCCAGTGCAGGTCCAGCCCAGCCAGTGTGCAGCTCTCCTGACCCCCAGCCTGGCTGTCCTCTCAACTGTCTCCCACCGGGCAGTCTCTCCTCTTCTCCCAGCCACATCTCTATTCTAAATCAAATACTTGTTTTCTTCATGAACGTTCCGTAACATAAGAAGGATGCCAGACTTCCTCACTCATTTTGAGCAACGCAAAATAAGGCAAGTGCATGCCTGGTGATGCTGAAGAGGGTCTCCTTCCCGTGTGAAGAAGAAGCACCTCAGCATCTTGGGACATTACAGGAAAAGGATTTTAGTGATCAACCAGAGGAAACTGAGGCCCAAAGAGGCTAAGTTCTTGCCCAAGGTCACATACATAGTGGCTCAGCCAGAAAAGGAATCCAGGACTCTTGACTTCTACAAGTCAATATTGTTCCCATTTCAAAAAATGTTGAGTAAGTGGCAGATGTAATCTAACTTCTTTAGAGTGACCACAAAAGCCTAAATTGAAGACAATTTCCAAACATGTGTGAGACACAAGTAGGGTTTTCTAACCGAACAGCACCTTCTCACTTAATTGGGGGAATTTTATGGAAGAGATATAAGTTAAGTGGAATAAGAATAATTTTCTTAATCAGATTTCTGGCAGCACAGCTATCCCCAGAGAAAAGAGACACCAGATCACATCTTACGTCCATCAGCAGGGGAAGGCGGGTCACCCTCTGCATAGGGAGAATGAGAAAAGAGATCATGGGTAAGTTCCTACAGTCTTCATGGGACTCGATTCGGGACAAAACTTCCTTAAAAGATGGGTTGGTGGCTCTGAGGAAAAAGAAAGAAAGAAAGAAAAAACTTCAAAACACTTCCTCTTCAAGTTAAGAAGCAAATAAAAATGTATTATAAAATATTGCAATAAATTCATGTATTACCAATGATTTTTAAATATATAAACAACGTGAACACACGATGACGTAGGTAGACAAGGACGGCTTGTCCACCTTTTATAGTCAAGACTGAATATAAGACGAGTTTAGGGTACCAATCTGAACAGTAAGATGGAAATGTGTGAGCTAGAAATTTTTAGAAGTAGAAAGTAAACAAATGAAGAAGTAATGGCATCTTAACAGTGAATGCGTATATTATAAATTATTATACAGACTAGATCTCATATCTGATCATCCACAAACATTTCATTAAAAAAGACAGCAAATATGTTTTAAGTCACTTCTCCAGCTCTAGATAATAATCTAAGAAAGAAATGTCAAACTGAATTTACTTACTAGGAGGCTTTTGGACTCTTTCAAAGCTTCTAAGACAGAAAACCTTTTGACCATGTTGGTCAGAACATTCCTCCTCTCCCAGTGACATTAGAACAGTGATAATACTGCCACAACATTTTTATGGAATTTGTAAGATCCACCGGCACAAAGGATCTCATGTGGAACCACCCATGTAACTTTTAAGGAAGGCCGAGGGGATTCCAGTAAGAATGGAGCCTCAGAAAAGTCCCCAACTTGCCAAATAACAGGCCTAGTATTCGGTAAAGACAGAAGTCAAACTAAGGTCTTCTGACTTTCAGCGGGAGACCTGAGACTGCATCTCTCACCTCACTTCACCCCAAGGGGAATGTGGAGGTAGAGTCCCAGTGTGACCTGCAAGGAGAAGGTGGGGAAGGGATGGCCCTGGGCTCTGTAATCCCACAATGGGGGGCAGGGGAGGGCCAAGAAGCAGGGTATAGTGGCAATTGTAACTTAAAAAAACAAAAACAAAAACAAAAACTTTGAAACTTAGATGGTTTTGTTCAAGGCTGCTAGAAATAAATTAGGAAATACCCAGAATAGCAAATTAAAAGAAAGCACATAAAAATGTTTTCAATTTCACTTTCTCAAATTGAGGAGTTTTAAGTTTCCTTTCCTGCTGGCTATGAAAAGATGCTTAGGAAGTTGGGGTGAAAAAAATCAAATTCCAACCCAGCTGCATATTTAAATCACTTAGGTCCCAGGTACCCTCCTCCCCTCAACCCTCCACCCGCAAAGATTCTGATGAAATAGTCTGGGACAGATCCTGGGCATTGTTTGTTTGTTTTGATTCCCTAGAGTTTCCAAAGTGTAGCTGAAATTCACCGCCCTAAACTTAAACTCACATCAACTGCAACAAAGCTCATAAAAACACAACCATTAATTTCCATGTGAAAGCTCAAATGATGGTATCATTGAGCCAACCGAAATAAAACCTTTATTTTTTAAGAGTCACATAATGTGCAGCAGTACCTATTCACATTTTTTTCAATCCTGCAAAACAAAATGAAAACAAAATGAAATATAGCTCTAATTGAAGGCTTTTCTTTCTTCAAGGTATATATGTAACTTGGATTTTCTAACAGTTACAGAGTAATAACCTGTACATCAGGTGTTCCCATCTTGGGTAGGGGGTTAGAGAAAGTGACGGGTATGATTCTCCACCTCTCTCCCCTGCAAGGGGTATCGAACAATGTCTGGAGACATTTTTGGTCACCATAACAGGGATGAGGAGGTGCCACCAGCATCTAGTGGGCAGAGGCCAGGGATGCCGTCAAACACGCTACAACGCACAGGGCAGCCCCCGTAACAAAGACTTGTCCAGCCCCAAATCGGTACGGCTTCACACGAATCATCTCATCTGGGCTGGGCAGCTGTGGGTTTTCCACCCTGCTTATACTAGATTTTCATGAGGGTATGGAGAGGGAAGGGGCATAATCAGCCCTTCTCTCCAACTCGGGGGCTGTTTCTCCCAGCAGTCCTGCAGTAACGATCGTCGGCCCCGACCCCTCCATGGGGTCTCACGTGTGCACTGAAGCTGACCTGGGGTGCATGCTATGGTCCCTCATGGTGGGGTTGGGGGGGCGAGAATGTTAACAGCCAGTGAGCCCCCAAACTGAGTTTACGGCAGTGTACAACTGTACTGCAGAACAAATAGCTCCTTGTGATCAACAAGGCCCCCGAAAATAAAACAATATAGATATTGCTGAACCACTGTTGACTCTTTTAAGGACAGAGATGGTATATATATCACACCAAAACTCTCAGTAACCTAAAGACAACAACAGGAAAAGGTGTGGAGGGAAATTTAAAGCTTACTTCTGTTTTGTTTTGTAACTAAAGCCTTTAAGAATTAAAAAAAAAAAAAACTGCCTTCCTCTAGAATTTCCCTGCTCACCTCACCCTTCATGACCCCTCAGGGAAATCAGCAATTCCTATAAACAACTGCACAGAGTTGTCGCTGGAGTGGACAAGACCAGAACACGAGAGGAAACTCTGGACCCCAGGCACTAGCTCAGCCTACTCAACTCTCTCGGCCTCAGGCAGACTACTTGATGGCCAGCTAATGGCTTAGAAAACAACCTTCTCAAAGTCCGAGATTTGCAGATATTAACTACTGTATATAAAATAGATAAACAACAAGCTTATTCTGTATAGCACAGGGAACTATATTCAATATCTTGTAGCAACCCGTGATGAAAAGGAACATGAAAAGGAATATATGTATGTACAGGTATGACTGAAACTTTATGCTGTACACCAGAAATTGACACAACATTGTAAACTGACTGTACTTCAACAAAAAAATAATAACAATAATTATAAGGATTAAGTTTGAAATGATGATCATCCCCCGGTGTCTTGCAGTAATTTAAAAAAAAAAGGAAAACAACAATAAACTATGATTTCATAATTGCTTTAGAGACAAAATTCCCTACAAACTAGATTTTTCTACTCAAACACCCTTACCCTGAAAGCAATCCTTTCTCCCTGAGAAACAGACCATCAGGAGGCATTTCTAAATATAATTTAAGAAATTGATTAATTTCAATCAATGTGATCTAGTTAAAACAAAGTTAGATAATTAAAACTAATATTCAATGTTGCTTACAACAATTTTTGTAGTGTCCGCTGTTGGTAGACTTCATTTGTGCAGTATTTCACGTACGGGTCAAATGTGGACGCTGTGTGTTTTTCCACAATGTCACTTATGTCATCTATGAAGATATTATTCTGATGTCTTGCTTCCAACTCTGTGAAGAATCTGAAAATACAAAGAAACACATTTACACTTTCTTCTGTATGCTCTAATAGACAACAGATTATCCTCATGTAATGATATTACACAGGGCTTGAAAATATCAACAGTACATAGTACCAACTCAAAAAGATAACAAGAAAAAAACTACAAAGTCTAAATTTAAATCTATCATATTAACACCTTATTACTTCATATGGTTGGCTTAAAACATTGATAATCCAGGGCATTTCTGTGCTTTCAGGTATATTTTAGAATGTACAGATTTCACTATTTCTCAAGAATTCCCTAAATACTAGGGAGGGCAGGGTTCATGCTTATGTATTTTACTGTATTGAAAAGCATGAGTGCCTACGTAAGTACCTAAAAAACAAGTCTGAAATAAACCTAATTCTATGTGTCCAGTCTCTCAAAAAAAATCATATTATTTTAAATCTAATACAATGCATGGCATTTAAACGTCTTCATAAATTATTTAGATTGCGTTTTATGGTTGTCAGGGTGTGCTTGTGTGTATGTTGTGCGCACGCACATGTGCACACACACACACACATATGAATACTGTGTCCAGTTCAGTAAAAATTAAATAAACAATGAATAATCAATACAACTATGTCCCAAATATTGCACAGGACATCTTGGGCATCTTGTATTTTATCTGGCAGCCCTAGATTGCATAATTTTAACAGAACATCAGAAGCAGATATCTGAAACAGTGTTCCTGCTTAAAAAGTGGTCGGTCCACAGACCAGTAGCATTGGTACCCTCTAAAAGCTTATTAGAACTAATGCCAAATCTCACCACCCACCTCCCGCAGTCTGAACCTGCATTCTATCCTGATCACCTGGCAATCTGAATGTACACTAAACTTTGAGAACACACTTCCTGACCACGTCTGGAGTGGTAGGAAAATCTATCAGGAGTAACTATCACACAAGGACTGACACATTTTCTAAAAAAGTGTGATGAAGATGAAACTAACAATACTTTCTAGTGCTGACTTCTGGAATGGCACAAGGGAAGGTTAGTTTTCCATAAGCTTTTCAGCTTTCAGCACATCACTGCTCCTCACCAGTGTCCATCACACACAATTCAAGGCTGACAGTGAATGGGGCAGTAGAAATTCAGACAGGATGATTAATAGAAGATATGGGCTAACATTTGCTCACATTTATAACAGTTATTTTCAAAGAAAATTCTGGCACTCAGAACTAAAACAATCAGGACATTAAGAGGTCTTGTTTTTATAAACTTAGGCGGACATTCAACTCATTTTAGTATAAACTGTATTAGCTTGTCATCACTATCTATTTTATTTTTTAAAGTTTCCATAGGTGCTTAAAAGACAAAGAAGTGCATTTTAACTCCCTAGAAGAATGAACTTATTTATCTCTGAGAAAGCATTTACATTTTTATTTCCTTCAAAAGATTTAAGGAAAATAATCAGCATGATCCCATCCACATGACCTTGTCGTCCAAGCCCCTTGTTTAAATCAGCAAGAGGAGAAACGTAAAGCACATCCTTCCAACGGGATCAGGGTTAACACGCACAGCTCCTAGGCCAGAAAACCCTCCGCTAAGTTCTAGAACTCAGTCGGCGGCTTCATTGTCACTTTGTCGAGACTGAATTCATTAACATTCAAATAAGATATCAAACCCTCTCCAAAAAAGTTTCAGAATTTCAGAAACCTCCAACTTCAAACCCCATACAAATAAAAACAATGTTTTATAAAGAATATTTTCTATCTATACTGGTCCCTGACTTCAAGAAGTCTGCACTGTTTTGTGGTAAGAATGATAAACATAACTGATAGAATTGTATATAACTACATGTTGGAACACACGTACATAAGGGTGTTGGAGGCAGTATCTTTTTTTTAATTATATAAACTATATATTTTTTTATTCTGATAAAATATACACTACATAAAAGTTGCAATTTTCGCCATTTTCAATGGCTTTAATTACATTCACAATATTGTGCAGCCATCATCACTATTTCCAAAATACTTTCATCACCCTGAACAGAAATGCTGTCCCCATAAAGTAATAATTCTCCATTTCCTCCTCTTCTCAGTCTCTGACAACCTCTAATCTATTTTCTATCTCTATGAATTTGCTTATTCTAGGTATTTCACATAAGTGGAATTACACAGTATCTGTACTTCTTGTTTCACTTATTTCACTTAGTATAATGCTTTCTAGGTTCATCCATGTTAAGGGATATATCAGAACTTTTCCCTCTTTATGGATGAATAATATTCCATCATAGGTACGTACTATAATTTGTTTATCCATTCATCTGTTGATGAACACTTGGGTTGTTTCCACCTTTTGACTGTTGTGACTAATGCTGCCATTAACATTCTCATACAAGTATCTGAGTCACTGTTTTCAGATCTTCGGGATATGCATCCAGAGGTGGTATTTCAACCTCGCTGACTCTGCCACTATTAGTATATTTCAAGAAGTGGTAGTATAATACCAAGACCAATACAGAAGAAGCTGAGTTACACACTAAGGAGAGATTATCTCATTAAATGATGGTTGAGTAAGAAATGATACTTCCCTTCCTGACACTTAAGAGTTGAGTGGCCCATGGGAGGCATGGAGCCAATTAACTGTGATACAAGACCTCTAACAGAGGAAGACAATGAAAAGTTCAGGGGCAGGTGACTGATGGTGTGAGGTGAGGAGAGGGGTCACTGGTGATAAGGATGGCAACTTGAGGAGCACGGAAGCAGGGCACTGCAGGCAGGGACACGATGTGGGCACAAACACGAATCTCGTTCAGAAAACAGTAGGGTTCAGTGAGGTGAGGTGTTGACCACAGGAGGAATGGGGCAGAGAATGAGGGCTGAAAAGCAAGTGGATCAGAGCTAGACTGCAAAGCTTCAATCGTAGGCTGAGGAGCTTAATCTGTGGACAACAAGAACCTGCTGGAGGTGTTGAAGCCAATAAATCATCTAATAAGACAGAAGACAATTGAGACAGAAGAGAGGTGGGAGAGACAGACCACAAACAGGCCAGTGAGATGGCTCACCTGGGCAAGTGACAATAAAGCCTGGCAGAGGGAAATCAAAAGAGGACACATTAGGGTAACAGTTTAGAGGGAAAGTCAGTAGAATGGAGAAACTTATTAGATGGGAAAGTCTAGGAAGATACTGGGGTTTCTAGTCAAAGCTTCTACCTGGGCATCAAGGTGGGTCATTAAACCATTCATGAAGACAGGGACTTTGGGTGGTGGGGGGTGGGTGGCAAGAAGAAAGCAGTTTAATTTTCCTTTGCAAAGCCAAATGGACAGCTGAAAGTACACATCTGTGAGAATTCAGAGCCACAGGAATTCTAGGCAGTATACAGTCAGGACTAGTTCATTTTTAGCTGGTTTTTCATATAAATGCAAAATATTTGCAATTTCTTTTAGCTCCAAGTGTCATTTAAAAAAATGTTCAGAGAAAACTGAAAAAATAAGAAACCATTAAGTTATTATCATGTAAATCTCAGAAATAAATATCTTAGAGGCAAATATCTCTTCCAGTTTCTTGTCTTCAGCTAACTGTTACAGTCTGAAGGAATGCAACTATAAAACCAAACACAACAGTAACTTGGCTTCTCCCAGTGAAAAGGAAAATTCATTTATCACTATAGAAGGTTTGCCAAAGTACCAGATTAGAAACAAAAGTACTAATGAAATATCTGTTTATGCTGCTTATTATAATATAATATAAGCCAAACCACCCATCTTTTATTTTGACAGCAGCATAATTAAGGCATAATTCAAAGCTTTCTATGTTAAATTATCTACTGGTTATTTTGGTAAATTTGCATATTTTACTAAGTGAGCTGAGCAACAAACAAGCCAAGAAAGTATTACTAAAGAATGAGGTATTATTTCAATAACCAAGAATGCCAGATATCCAAATGAAATCTGAAGCAAAAGTAAAAGCATTCTGGTTCCCTGGATGAAACTTGAATGAGTCTGTGAAGTAATTTGGCTTCCCCGAAGGACAATTTTTTCATGGAAATCTATTTCAGCCCTATGAACTATTTTTTCTGGCATACCACCTTCATTACTTCCTCTTTGTAGCATTACCAAGATGATCATGTTTTACAACCAATCATGTTGTACAAACTTTCTGTACAACCTTCTGTACAAAATTCTAACCTCATTACTAACGTTGAGATTTTGAAAAACCTCTGATGGACCAGAAAAGCTTCCTGGAAGCAGTGCCTCTTACCCAGAAGCCCAGGTTAGCCCCGTTTGACTGCTGACTCAACCCTCACCAGCATCCGGTGGCTCTGAGGTCCCACAGATGTGCATTTTCAGCTGTCTGTTTGACATCTCCAAAGCAACACTAAACTACTTGCTTCCTGCTTCTTCTCCCCCAACCTAGTCACACCCATACTTCAAACGAGTGTGGACAGTGACTGCAGCCTGCCCAGGCGAGCTTCTTGGCTGTGCAGAGAATGGTCAGACCACCAAGAAACCCCAGGGAGGCCTCCCAGGAGAAGGGACTTCAACATGAGAACTGCATGGCCATGTCTGAAGAGATGCTTGAGGCCTGTAAGCCTCTCCGCTAGTATTTCCTAGAACTGCAGGGACGGTATATTCTTTAGGCTGTTTGCGGTTGCTTTATCAGGTGATGGTCTCAAATGTAACACTGGATTTAGTGGGGAAAACGAAGTCAACAGTGGGGCAGCCACTTCTAGTCTACTCAGCACATACACTTTCATGAGTGTCACTTTCTCCCTTGCACAGTAAGCAGAAAAGACCTACAAATGTTTAAGGTACAGGTGTCCCCATACCATTACCAACAGCCTTCTTAAAATTCAACTGGTAAGGTGATGGTCACGTCAAAGGTGAGTGTTCATTCCTGAGAGCTCTTGAAGATTGTACAACAAATCCGCCTATCTATAGAAAGAATTAAAGCTTATTTAATACAGACAACAAATCTGGTTTCATCACCAGTCAGACAAAAAAATATCCCACACATCTAGCACAGGAT